ATAGCCGTGACGTACAATTGACATCGTCACAACATGGCAAGGTGATGTCAGGAGGCGTTGAATGAATCCCTTCCGTGGTCTTTTCCAGGAGTGGTTGTTTCCTAACTCAACCAGCCACTAATGGTGGAAAAAGCAGTTGCGAGTGGGCTCATTCCACACCACGTGGCGCCGTACCTTGCAGTAAGCTACATAGTTGGTGTATGGGTAAACTAAACCGTCATAGGTCACCTATGGAAACTGCCCTCGATAGGGAACCCCTGAGTTAAACTGCAAAACTGACTTTTGGGACAATCTCACTGAAAGGTTAGAAATGTGAAAGAATCCTCACCCGTTTTGATTTCTTTGAAACAGCATGCAGAAGGCTTGGTTGATCCACAGGATGTAGTACTGTCTGTAATCGAAGACAATAAAGTTCTGGTTTTAGCTTCAGCCATCTATATTCCTGTCTTTCTTCTCTTCTAGCCTGACAGCACTACTCGGTCCAGGGTGGGGGAGGGAGGATGGGAGGAGGGTGCACTTTACCCTTTGGTGGTTCCTTTTGCAAGTTCATGTTAACTACAGCTATCACTTTGATAAAGACTGTGAACTCTTGTGGTCTTGCGAGAAGGTGCAGTTGAGTTTTGGTCACAGGGATTCACGGGTGACCGCCAAGCTGAGAGCACATGTCTAGCAGTCTTGCAAAGCAAAAGAAAGAAAGCTGGAAATATATTTCAAGGACGCGAAGTGACTTCTCTAGGGAAGGATTAATTTTACTATATGTAGCGATTTGCTTTGGCGCTAGTGACAGGAGACAAACCACGTGCAGTCCTGTTCGCTGCGGATGATGTGGCGTGCCGAGGGGTCAGTGGGGGGAACGGTTTTACTCGAAGCCAGCCTGTTCTTTCCATTTCATTTTCTTTAGCAAGCGAAAGACTGTATAATATCGTTCGTATCAGTTGTTTTCCACAGTGGGGAGAACGGGCTGACAGCGCACCAGAGTTAGGCGCGCTGACACGCAAAGGACGGTAGTATTCCAACCGGAAGGGAGCCGTGCTGAAAGCTTCCGAGGAAGTTCACTCTGAAGGAACTAGTTCTTTGCTTAGGCATTGTTCGGTTG